CTGCCCAGGGCAGTGGTGGAGTCACCATCACTGGAGGTATTCAAAAGGTGTGTGGATGTGGCACTTGGGGACATGGTTCAGTTGTGAACATGGAGGTGCTGGGTTAACAGTTGGACTTGATGATCTTAGAGTTATTTCTTATCCTTAGTGATTCTGATTCCATGTGCAAGTAATACAGGCCAAGAGTCCTGACCTGTGCCCAGTCATGCCAGCATCTTCCCTCTCTCTTCCTCTCCTCCTGCCCTATCCAAATCTGGGTGCTTTCCTTGCTTGTCTTATCAAACTTGGGGGATGTATTACAATTTCTTGACTAAGAAGGTGGTAAGTGCCATTTCTGCACAATGTGGCTGTAAAATGTCTAATATTCTGTGATGGCAAACACTCTGCCCACACACCAGAGTAGTTATGGCAGTCAGATTTTACACCATGTGTGGTTGGTGTTTGTTGGTTTTTTTGGGGGGTTTTTTTTTAACATATAGATTTTTAATATTGAATAACACAAGGAACTGTTCTGGAAGGGACAGTGTGAGTCAGTCTTGTGTTAGAGAGGAACTCAGAAGACTGACTGGGAGTCAAGGTGCATCAACAGTCAGCTTGAAGTTCTTCAAATATGCTCATATTTTAGTGGGGGAAAAGCAGAAATGTGACTGTAGAAGTGAGAGGTAACACACTTATATTCTTAGAAGTCCAGCAGCTTGTTCTTCCTGAAATATTGCAGTGATGAGACACAGATGCCAAAATCCTGGAAGCTTCCACCATGGAAATGCAGATTGTCAGTTAGACTTGAGTCACAAACACAGGGTACTTCAAGTTTGGCTTGCTGCTGCCATGCATGCCATGCAAGCTCTGGGACAGGCTCAGAGTGGGCCTCCCTGGGGAAAAAAAACCCAGTTTGCTCTCCTGCAGTCTCCAGCTCTGCCCAGATCACAAAATGACTCTACATCCATAAATAGGGAAGCAGCAAGAAAACAACTGACCTGGAAACGTGATTTCCAGCTTACCCAATCCTTTGTTAGGAAAACAGCGTGATTCAGGTTTCTCTCATAGTGTTTTTAACTTCCCTGTGCGTGGAGTTCCTGTAGTGTTCAAGTTAAAGCCAAAGGATTAAAGAACTCTGAAACTCTCCCACATTAGATGCATAACATATATTTAAAAAATAATAATATTAAGCCTGGTAGAAAGGCTGTTAGTGGGTGTCCTGGCTTTGGGTACGCACATGCAATCCATGATTTTTGGTTCCCCAGTGTAGTTTGTGCTTTCTGGCATTTTGAGCACAACAGACACAGTTTCGTGATGTATCTCCCACAGGGAAAGCTGTTGATGAGCTGCAGGCTGATGGAGAATGATTGGCATTGGGATTAGTGTCAAAGGATAAGCCCAAAATTCCCCCTCTGCCTTCATGAGGCTCCACCTGGAGTACTGTGTCCAGGTTTGGGGTCCTCAGCATAAAAAAGATATGGGCTTGTTAGAGCGGGTCCAGAGCAGGCCATGGAGATGCTCCAAGGGCTGGAGCCCCTCTGCTCTGGAGCCAGGCTGGGAGAGCTGGGGGTGTTCACCTGGAGAAGAGAGGGCTCTGAGGAGACCTTAGAGCCTCTTCCAGTGCCTAAAGGGGCTCCAAGAAAGCTGGAGAGGGACTTGGGACAAGGACCTGGAGGGACAGGACAAGGGGGAATGGCTTCCCACTGACAGACAGCAGGGTTAGATGGGATAGTGGGAAGAAATTCTTCCCTGTGAGGGTGGGGAGGCCCTGGCACAGGTTGCCCAGAGAAGCTGTGGCTGCTCCATCCCTGGAAGTGTCCAAGGCCAAGTTGGACGGGGCTTGGAGCAACCTGGGCTAGTGGGAAGTGTCCCTGCCCTGGAAGGTGTCCCCTCCCTGGCAGTGGGGTTGGAACAAGATGGTCTTTAAGGTCCCTTTCAACCCAAACCGTCCTGTGTTCCTGTGATTCTATGAAATGTGTACAGTGTCTGTGTTAAGCCCTTTTTCCAGTCTGTAGATTTTAGTTTGGTGAAGTCTTTTTACTGAAGTTGCAGCACCCTCTTCTACTGCTTTATCTTCATCTTGGTGGTATAAACTGCAATCAAGTTGCTTCTCACCAACAAACTTAAAGAATTCTTTGGTTAGGTGTTTAAAAGTAGAAGTCTCAGAATAAGGTGCCTTGGTTTGGCACTCCTGAAGCAATAAAGTTCATTTAGGGACTGTGGAGAGTGACTTCGCACTGTAAAAGCTAGAGAAGATATTCATACGTCCTTAGTGCAGGACATAATCTCATGTTTTCGCACACTGCTGAACTGAGTGATATTTATTTGGCATCTTTTATTATTCTGAGGCATTTTTCTGAAGACTAATGTTAAGTACAAAGTGCTCACATGCATCTAATCTTTGCCTTAGGGTAGGAGTAAGACTGAAAATAATCAGTCTGCCTTGTTCTGGAGGCTGAAAAGTATCGCTGCTGTTCAAAGAGAGAAAGATTTGCATTCCTGTATTATATGCTGAACACACGTAAAAGAAGCATGAAGGAGGTTGTACAGGTGTTTTTTTAGAATGTGTTGAGCTGAACCCCCTGGTCAATCACTGTAGCAGAGACAAGAGCTTCCAGCAGCTTTATCAGTTGATGCAGGAACGTCTGCTGCAAAGAAGTGGGGCATCTCCCTCCAGTGCCAAAATTGGTCAGTGTGGCTGGGATGGGTCGGTTGTCCTGTCCCTGCTGGTCCTGTAGCCTAAATTCCTGTCCACAGTGTATCTGTAGTCCAGACTAAGGGGGTTTTTTTAACTGTTGTCTAAAAAGTACTAATACTTTTGATTTCTTAAATTCCATTGCCTTTCAAAAGCTACTGCTTAGTCTGGAGGTTGCATTATTGTACTATTTCAGTTTGACTAATGTTTAAAACAGCTAAATGAGTAATGTAAATGTTTAAACATTACCTATAGTGAAATCATCAACAAGATTAAAGCTTAAGTTCCCCTGAACACATTTATGGTAATTTTGCTCATGTGAATAATTCCTTCGGCTTCAATCACATTCTCTTTTAAGGTAACTGCTCTTACCCATGCTTTTACAGATGATCCTCTAAAAGGAGGAGTGGCATTAAAATCATTGATTTTGAAATCATTTTGTTTCAAGTACTGAAACTTTGTGTTGAGGCTTTAGGCTGTCAATTGTACCAAGGCATCAGTTAATACAATTTTTCAAACATAAGAGATGACAAAATTAAAAGTCAGAAATAAAGAGTTCTTCGCTGGTATTATGTGAATATGTGAAACTATTTTTCATGAGAGAATGTTTGAAAAATAATTTATGCTGTGTTTGCTCTGAGTATTGAATATTTGAGTATTCCAGAATAAATGAGGAACATATTATTATTTGATACCTGCAGTAAAAGCAGTCACTGCTTGGATATTATGACATGGAGTAGCATCCTTTTGTTTTCTACCCATAGATTCCTGTTGCTTAATAGCTGCTGAATTTTCATAGCTTTTGAAGTGTCAGTGAACTTGGTTTCGGTGTCTTACAAACAAATGCTTTCTATACATAAGTTCAAAAAGAGTTTGTTTTATGTCAAGGGAAGGAGACACATTTGACAACTTTTGTATCATGTATAAACGGCACTTATTGCTTTTTCCAATTGCAACATGTATGTCCTTTTCTCCTAAGCTTTTTTTTTTTCATTGTGGTGACCAGTTGCTAGACTTTCTTAATTTATTTTAGAATTTTAAATGAGCAATTCAAAAGGACCATAGGGATTGTGGTTTGGATTTGGGCTATTATTTCTTTAGTTCATTCTGATAAACTGAGGTAGTTGCCATCACAGATGTCAAACTGTTTCTTCAAGTTTAGATGGAAAAACTGTTTTGAGAGGAAAACCCAGTTCTGTAGTTGTGCTGTTCAACTGAGTTTATACTTTACAGCAGAGACTCTTCTACTTTGTGCACGAAAAGACGTCATGTCATAGAATCACAGAATGAGCTGAGTTGGAAGGGACCCATCAGGATCATCAAGTCCAACTCCTGGCCCTACACAGGACACCCCAAGAACCCCACCATGTGCCTGAGAGTGTTGTCCAAACTCTCCTTGAACTCATGTCCTTTATTTCATACTAACACTGTTGTTTTCTGGGAACAGGAACCAAGTCTGCCATGAAGGCATCTCTCATGTTCCCCAAACAACTTCCACACAGGCAGGTAGTGATAGAACAAGGGGGAATGGTTTTAAACTGAGAGAGGAGAGATTTAGCTTAGATGTTTGGAAGAAATTCTTCCCTGTGAGGGTGGTGAGGCCCTGGCACAGGTTGTCCAGAGAAGCTGTGGCTGCCCCATCCCTGGAAGTGTCCAAGGCCAGGTTGGACAGGGCTTGGAGCAACCTGGGCTAGTGGAAAGTGTCCTTGCCATGGCAGAGTGTGGAATGAGATGAGCTTTAAGATTCCTTCCAACCCAAACCATCCTGTAATTCTGTGAGCTGGAAAACGCAGTTGATTTTCCACCTCTAGGCAGTGCTATTCCCTAAGCCAGTGGGAAAATTGGAAGGGCAGAGGACACCAGATTTTGCATACCTGTAGTTTTTGTCATGTGTAGGCAGTTGAGATGCCTCAGCAGATTACTTTTGTTTTTCAACACTGGAGAAGTAAAATAAATAGGAAAGTAACTCCATAAAGATTGGAAGTAGTGTTTTTTTTATCCTGACCATGCAACTGGTGCTGAGTGCCTCCAGGTAGCTGCCATGAGTTTGGGTGGGTTTTGCTGGTTTGTGTCTTGAGGTGGTACCTCCTGTCAGTTGTGGGTGGCTGTTTTGGAGGTCTGGTGATGTGCCTCTGCTCCTCTGTGCTGGAGGAGATGTACCTGGGATGAGACAGGGTGTTATTTGGGCACGGGGACAGTCATAGCTGCCGAGTTTTGGTCACAAGAACCCTCATCACTTGCTCAGCCAAGGAGGCCTTCATTGCCTTCAAGGAAGGAGATCTTAATCATTTAAGGAGAGCCCTGAAATCTTTCTCAAATATTTTAGGACTGTTTGTTGATGGAAGAAGACCTCAGAATTTTAGCTGGATACTCCTAAGGAAGTTTTTCAAGGACCAGCTGGTTGCCTCCAAGAAACTAGAGGTGCTGTTCCATACATGAGGTACAGTCTGTGTAATGAAGTTAGTTATCAGTTGTCTGTTTGGATGCTTGTTACCTGGGAACGTTTTCAGTTGATCTCTAAAAAGCTATTATTTAGAGATATTCCTGAATGGAATATTGTTGTGTTCTTCAGATGACTTTCAAGTATCTTTTACTGCCCTGGGAGAAATCACGAGCACGTTTCTGAACTTTTTAGAGTAAATTAAGTCGCTACTAAGGGATGAAGAATTGGTTTACTGATTTTTATTTTTTCTTTATTTTTTTGGAAGGTAACAGCGAAGTACTGAGCTCCTAGAGGAGCCCCTTCTGGCAGGCTCTCCCTGCAGAAGGTGTTAGGGAAGCATGTCATGACTTGAACAAGCCCCAGAATATCCATCTGCCACTGGGCAGAGCCAGGTAGGACGTGCTGGAGTTGAGAGTTTTGTTCCTGGCTTTTATAACATAGCATAGAAAGGGAAATACCACTGTTTAAAATTTTCAGTGGTCTAAGGTGTTACAAGTCTCAGTTTTTCCTCCACCTGTCTTCACTGCTCACAGTAAAACAAAAATGAAAAATAAGCTTTTTTTTTCATGGTTCTTACCCTGGCTGGTTCTTTCCCTATAAAACTGACTGCAACTGTCAATACGTAAGGATTTTTGGTATTTAGTGGTAAACTCAGTTTAAGTCCAAGTCTCAATGGATTGTTTTTAGTTTGTTGGAGTATCAGGGAATTATCAACTGTAGTAATATGGCATATAAGGCAGATAATATAAAGTCTAAAATAACTCAAGGATATGCTAGTATGAAAACTTAGTTAAAAACTCATGTAGAAAGAGGATTATCAAAACCTTATTTTTAAAACAAAATATGGTTTTGGTGGATGTTGCCACAAATACGTGGTTTTCACATAACATCTAATTTATAGCTCATATTCCAAGGGTTTGGAAGAATTGTGGGTATGGGAATGGTAGGTTGGGACTTTGTGGACCCCACTTTGAGTTTTCTGGGCATTTTTTCTGCTTCATGCTAAGACCAGTGTGGTATTGGTATTTATTTTTTATTTTTCTTGGAAAAAGCCACCATGAAATGTTGAGAAATTGAAATGTCTTTGGGGGGGGGGAGAAGCTGAAATTGAATTAGTGCAATATTCGAGTATATGGACTTTAAATATTGTGTCAGATCCCTCCCTGACCGAAGCAGTTTAAGATCCGAGATGCACATCCATCCGTGTTGTCCGTAGCTGTGCTCTGTGTGGCTTCGATTCAGGGAAGGTTTCTGTAGGGTGCCAGCACCCTCTTGTGGGCAGTGTGACGGCTGAGAATTTGTGTGACTTGCTGAACCGTTTCAGAACAGTGTATCTTCACACTGATAAGGTCCTGTCGATGTTTTCTTAGAACTAGGAGGTTATCTATAAAATTAAAGCTGCCTGCTCCCGATCCAACAGCTGTGCCTATTCATGGAAATAAAATTTCTCGTAGCATTTCTCCTCCCTGTTGTCCTGTATCCTTCTTAGAATCATGGAATCACTGAATGGTTTGGTTGGAAGAGACCTTAAAGATCATCCAGGTCCAACCCCATGGGCAGGAAAGGATGGGAGTCTTACCCTAAATCTGCCACTTCTCTTCCACCCCACTGCTGGTAGTTGAGGGATTTTCCAGTTTTGCAGAGAATGCTGACTGATGGCAGTGGGATCAAGAAACTGGTATTTGGAAAGGGGATTGTTGTATGAGGTGCTGTTGGTGTGGATTGAAATCAACCCCTACAAATGAAACTGAAGATCTAAATTTAAAATATTTAACAAGATGACAACTCTGGATTTGCGTGCTGGATAAATTGGCTGTGATAACTTAGAAAGATAAGAACCTCCTTTAAAACTGTTTAAGATTTTTCCTCCAATTAGCTGTTACTTCCCTTGGCAGCACTGGGTAGCTACATCGAGTATCTTTTAAATGATGTTGGAAATACTGATGTGACTTACTGGGAGATCTAGGCTGCTCAGTTTTTCCTCTCTGAATAGTGACCATTTTTGCCTTGGAAACACATCTTAAACACATTTCTGACAATCACAGGTATGTGGGGAGTCCTTCAGAAAAATAAGTTGATTTCAGTTTTAAGCTATTATTTGCCACATTTTTGCTGACCCTTTCTCCTAGAAGGTGCAGAGATTGCAGATTGGGTTCAGCTAAATAGCTTCTTGTACCTCAGTGGTGTTTCCGAGCTTCATAATAAGTATCTACAATCTTTTTTTTTTTTTTAAATTTTTTTTTCCCAACCAGGAATGTCCAGAATGGTCTGTCCCTTGCCCTTTGCTGGGATCACAAAGGACTGGGCTCTGAGACTCTGTATATTCAGTGTGGACTGTTTACTTTTCAAGAATCAGAAAGTTGTCCCTTTTAAAGTCAGGAGTTGCCATTTGTGGTGTGCTTAAATTTGCAAAGAACCAAACAACTAACTTGTGTTTTCTCTTTATGCAGGTTGCAGAATCAGCATGTGTCTCCAATAGTTAAAAAGGTAAGCACACCATATTTTGCAAACATACAGCAGGATACTCTGTTTCCTGATTGATGCATTTAGGTCATAACTTAGAGGAGGAGAGACTTCATCTTAATATATTTTAAATGGTTTTTTAACAATTGATTGTTTTATGCGAAACTTTTATGTTTGTACTCTAAATCCCTTCAAAGCTGTTGGATCAGCACAGTTTGAAAACAGAGAGATTATTGGTTAGAAATATCTAACAATATCAAGTTGATATTACAAAAACTTCATTACTCTTCTGGCTACAAATTTGCATCCAATCCGTATTAATAAAGTAAATAATCAAAGCTGGCATGTAGGAGAGTTTGCCAGGTGTTTGAGCAAAGCTTAATAACTGATTTTGGTGGGAAAGGAGGAAATAGGTCCCATTTATAAGTCTATCTCTTAGTACCAAACATCACCCTACCCACGTGACTGTTTTGGGTTTTTTAAATCTTTTTATGAAACAGCTTCAAGATTCTTGAGTCTCTTTTAACCTCCTTTAAGACTATTTTAGATTTTTCCTCCAATTAGCTGTTACTTCTCTTCGCAGCACTGAGTAGCTGCATCGAGTGTCTTTTAAATTATATTGGAAATACTGATGTGACTTACTGGGAGATCTAGGCTGCTCAGTTTTTCTCTCTGAATAGTGACCATTTTTGCCTTGGAAACACATCTTAAACACATTTCTGACGGTCACAAGTATGTGAGGAGTCCTTCAGAAATAAAATACATTAAAAATTAGATGCTCAGTCCTCAAAGTAAACCAGTAAGAAGGATATAGACAAAGGATACAAAACTTGATAATAAATATATGTTCCAAAATAGTTTATTGTGGAATAAACCTGCAAACATCCTAGGTTATTTCTAATTTGGAGTGGGGCTCTTGACTTCCTTGGTCGAGGGAGTAATAGATGCAACCTCAATTATTTATGTAACAGCAGATGGTGCTGTTGGAGTGGATTTAATCACATGAGGAGTAAACTCCAAGCTGAGGTATATCAGAGCTCTCAGGGTTCCTGATGTGCAGCCAGCAGCTCTGTGATCTGGGATTTGCTGTTCTCAGGCTGTAGTTAGCCTCTACTAATTCTAGCAGTTGCTGCTAATTTATATTCATTCCTGCTGAAGTACACTAAACTAGAAGGAAAACTGCCGTTGGCCTGTAATAATGCTTTTCTCGTGTTCGAAAAATACACAACTTGCTTGTGGGGGCAAAAAAATAAAAAAGGTCACTAAAAGTGCTTACCAAATACAGTGTGACTATTTCTTTGAAGAATTTCTAAAGTAAGCTGATAGTAGGGGCCAAATCTGTAAGAAAATGGGATTTTCAAGGATGGTTTTGGTGCATAGAGATTTTCATGTGATATATTAAAAAATATGGTATGTGAGATATATATATATATATTTTTTTTTTTTATATATATAAAATAGAGGCTGCACCATGGCCTCGAGCCTCCTGCTTCCAGGGAACCTGGATGGGAAGGGACTAGAGGTGCCACAGCTACAGAGTCTCCAGGTTGGGCTCATAAATCCTTCATGACAACACCCCATCTATCACAAGCCATAAATCCATGGAGACCTAGGCTGGCTTTGTTCCACTGAACTAGGTGATGGAGGGGAGAACTGAGAAGATGCTGAAGTTTTCTCAGTCTTGCTGTGTTGTTTCTGATCTTGCCTGGATTAGTTTTCCTCAGGGGTTTGTATGGAGTACGCTCCAGTTGTGCAGTGTCTCTGTGTTCCTGGTTCAGTGATGCAGGAGAAATGGGAGTATTCAAGATGTGTGGGTCCCAAATTCCATCTGAGAGCTGCTTTTTCTTTGGAGAGTAGGCAGTCCAGTTTCTCCTTACGCCTCAGTGCGTGTCAAATCTGTGAAATACAAGATGTTACGGGATTTACTGCTTTCAGCATGTATGTTAACACTGAAGTTTTGTTCTGGTGTGCAGCATTTACCTCCTTGCACTTGGCTTTCAACTTGCTTTTGTCTAATCATGCAGAGCTTATAACACATTTAAGGGTACTGGATTTTTAATTTCATACACATTACAGATTGCTTATTACAGGGTTGTTCAGTCTGGAGAAGAGAAGGCTTTGAGGAGACCTCATTGCAACCTTCCAGTTCTGAAAGGGGGCTTATGAAAAAGAGGGAGAGTGACTTTTGACACAGGCAGATAGTGATAGAACAAGGGAAAATAGTTTTAAACTGTAAGAGGAGAGATTTAGATTAGAAATTAGGAAGAAATTCTTCCCTGTGAGGGTGGTGAGGCCCTGGCACAGGTTGCCCAGAGAAACTGTCAGTGCCTCATCCCTGGAAGTGTTCAAGGCCAGTTTGGACAGGGCTTGGTCTAGTAGAAAGTGTCCCTGCCCATGGCAGGAGGTTGGAACAAGATGAACTTTTTTTTAAGGTCCTTTCCAACCCAAACCACTGGTCTGTGATTTGACTCTATGATGTTTTTTCTTTCCTAAAGCTGTTCCACCTGCAAGTGAATGTAGTTGGTCACTAAGTTTCTCTCCCAAGTGCACTGTGTACATTCCTTAGTCAGTCAGATTTTAGAGACCTTTTTCTTTCTTAAAAGCTGTCAACCTTGAAGCTGAGATTGTCTCAAGTCTTCTTCCTGAGTCTTATACCCCAGAGTCACTTTGCCTTGGGGAGCAGAGGTAGAGTAGGAGCTGCTTTTGGGGAGAAGAGCTTTGGGGGTGACTCTTTTCAGTCTTTACACCAAGTTCTGTGAACAAAATCTCTGACAGGTTAGGGCAGATAAATTAATTATTAAAACCAAAATAACTTTTTAACTTCAAATACCTAATGCAACAACTCTTCTCTGAAAAGGAAGGAGAAATATGTGTTGTTATGTGTATCTTTCTGGAATGTTGTGAGAACAATGTGGTGAAAGTTTCAGTGGCTCGAAGAGTTATGGTAAAGAGCTCAGTGGTTTCACAGGCTGTTTTTTGCATTTAACAAAGTGTGCTGTTTTCTCAGAGGAGCAAAATGATTTCTCATCCCCCTAAGGGGTGATTTTTCCTTTTCTCTCTGTGTATCAATGTTGCTGTTCCTTCAAAGCCATGTAGACATAGATACCTCACCCTCCACGTCCTTGCTCTGTCATACACAGCTTATTGGGGATTGAGATGTGAAACTTGGGCTGAAACTGTTAATTAGTGTGCAGAAGAGCGTGCTAAATTAGGCACAGCGCTAGTTTGGTGAGTTGCTTTTAGATGGGACTCATTTCCTCCTGGGCATCTTAGTGGTCAACACGTGGTAGCATGGCTATGGCATTGATGGCTTGTTCCTCCATGGCAAGTTCTCCTTTTTAAATTGTGTCAGCTGAGCTCAAAACATCCTGTTGCTATTTCTTCATCCTCAGAGAAGTAGTGTCCATTAACATCGATGCTGAAGTAGAACTTCAGGTCCTCTGAAGTGGGGAAGTTTGAAGCCTTTGGTGCTTAGGCTTCAGACAAAAATGATTTAAGTCAACAAGTTGACTCCATCTCTGCTTTCCATAGCAGACTGGAGATGAAAAAGCTGGTACCTGGGATCTGAAGAACGATTATCATAGGGTGGAGCTCCTTGCTAGCATTTCAACTCAATCCCAGTGGTGACCTCGAGCATGTTGCTTTTGGCTAGTGAAATACTGCTGATTTAAGATGCCAGTGGCAATGTTTTTCAAAAAAGGTCAACCTGGATAGTTGTCAAAATATGATGGTGCATGTAAGTCATCTACCTGAGTTCATCCAGATTCAGTGGTGTGCTGTGTTCCAAAGAGCCAAGGCCTGATGTACTGAAAAATAAAGGTCTGACTGCAGCTGAAGGTGACTGGTCAGAGAAATCTCATCACTGAAGAAACCTGTGGAGCTTGCACCTGCGAGCATTCCCTGCTGGAGCGTGCTTTTTTTGCCCTGTGAGGTTTAATCTGAAGGCAGGATTAAAGGATAGCTGCAACCCCCAGGCTGTGCTGATGATCCATAGGATCCACAGGATGAACGTGTGTTTGGTTGGTTGCTCAGATGGGGGAAACAGAATAATACCACATCATCCCATGATGTCACATGTTGCTTTTTAGTTTATGAAAAGGCTGGAAAATGCCACAGTTTATGTTGACATTGGGAAGGCTCTTGGTCAGACCTGATGTACAAACCCTTGCATGTAAAATCTGTGACTAAAACATATTTCAGATTGGGGTATTTATGCATTCCTGCTATTCTCAAATATATTTTGTGCATTTTTGAGGCAGTGCATGAAATGTGAACATGAGAAACAGTTATAAAGGATGCCTAAGGCATCTTGGGTTTATGCACTAGGACATATAAATATTTCCTTGCTTATGTCTCTCCTTGTTTCTGAGCTTTAAGAATGAAGAGTTGCCCACCAATTTTGATAACAAAATAAAATTATTTCTGCCTTTCCATGCCCAGCAGTGATGGTATCTTTGATACAGCCATTCTAAGAGAACTGTCCTTCCTTGCCCCTTCTGCGTGGCGAAGAGTTAATTGTCACATGTGCCTCTTGCAGTGGGTAGGGGTGAGCTGCATCCTGCCTTCATCCTTGTTCACTGGACTGTGCATCGGTGCACTCCAGGCTTTGAGGACGTGGGAAAAGAGAGCACAGGGATAACCCTCCTTTTGGGAATACCTTGCTGCCACTTTGGGAGGGGGCCAGGGGGCTGGTGGGGAGTAGGTGGGTGCATGGCATTCCCTCAAGCCGTGGTTCTCAGCATGGGGACCTTCTGTAGCCCGACCCGACCGCGCTGGAAACGGAGAAGGACAAAACGATCGGAGAGGAAAGGTATTGTTTTAATTGCTGCGTGGTTGGGACAAAGCAGTCGAAGGAGGGGTTGTAGTGGTGGTGTAAATGTAGTTTTCAGGTGAGGCTTGAACCTTCACTGCAAAGTGCAACTTCAGTGTTTGTGGTTTGGGTTCATGAGAAATTCGATTTGTCGGAAATATTTTGAGCAAGATCCTTCAATGTTTCCCAGCATTTTATTTCACTTGGCTTTCAA